ACGACCTTCGAGTTTTATAAAACGATCTCTCGAGTTTTATAAAACGATCTTCGAGTTTTTATAAAACGATCTCTCAAATTTTATAAAACGATCTTCGAGTTTTATAAAATGATTCTCGAGATTCATGAAACTGTTGCGTTTACGCGTTTGCGGGGAATTTTGGCTATTGATTCCGTCGTACCGATTTTGACCCCAACAGGAGTTTGGTTGTAGAAGAGGTTATAAGTTAAGGAAGTTGTGGTTTGGGGTTTGGGGTTTCGAGTTTAGGGATTTATAACCCCTTTCCTCGTAAAGCCCTAGTAATAGAAAACACGGGCATAGTCGTTTCCTCGTAATGTTCTAGTAATGCTATTACTAGGACTTTACGAGGAAAAAAACGCGGGCATAGCTATTTCCTCGTAAAACATATTCCTCGTAATGTTCTAGTAATAGCATTACTAGAACCTTACCAGGAAATAAAAACACGGGCATAGATATTTCCTCGTAAAGTCCTAGTAACGTTACTAGGGCTTTACGAGGCAGCAAAATTTCTTATATATACTCGAGCAGTCCGATTTCTCATTTTGTAGTAAGCTTCTCTCTGAATCCTCTAAAGGTTCTCTAATTCGTAGTTAGGTGATTAGATTAGGGAATTTAGATTAGGTGGTTAGTTTAGGAAATTTAGATTAGGTGGTTAGTTTAGGTAATTTAGATTAGGTTGGTTTACTTTTTTAACTATTTTTTTAATTATACGGGAATTAATGTTTTGATTTTTTTTTTAAATATAGATGCCTAGACAGAGAAAGATTGCTACGGCTGCTAGTAAGAGGACGTCGTCTCTTCAGGGGAGTCACGACGGAGATATTTTTGGGCGTCAGGATGCTCCTAGTTCATCTTCGTCAGCTCCCGGTTCATCTTCGATTCCGGATCGTGACACTGTTCCCGAGACTCAGGGAGCTTCTACGGCGTCCCGGCAACCACCTCCTCCTCCACCTCCTCCTCCTCCTCCTCCACCGGTCAGGGTTCATCCCGATTTGCAGGTGCCGCCGAACGCACCCTTTGCGGTGTACACGGTGGAGGATATTTTGGCCCTTCCTGGCAGAGAAGGGCTGCCAGAGTTAGATCATCTCCGACGGGGCGGCCAAAACGTATTATGGTATGTTTTAATTTTTAAAAAGTTTTTTTAATTTATTTCTTAATTAACAAAATATTTACAAATTAATCTAATTAATTATTTATTTTGTGTCTTTCCAGGTTTGGTCTTGACAATTGTGTTGCAACTAGCATCACGGACTGTATTAAGGGATACTTTCCCGATGCAGCTCCAAACTGGAAGAAGACGGCGAGCCACACAAAAAGACGTGGTTTAAATCGTTCGCTGTAAGTTTAATCAATGATCAACTTAATTTCTTTTTAATTATTTAAAATTATTAATATTATTGAACTAATCCGTCTCTTATTTTTCCTGGTTACAGCAAAAATATCGTTGGTCTATTGGGATTCACTAGTGGGTGAAGATGGAGTTTGAGGCCAAGGCAAGAGCACGATTGCTCGACATGGTCTACAACTGGAAGTTCGACTTTCAGGTATGGATTTATAAATTATAATATATATATAGTTTTAAAAATATTATTGACTTTAATTCTAATTATTTTAAATCAGGTGGATGGTTACGAGGACGGGAAACCCAATTGCCTCACAACCACGGTGTGGGATGGCCTCATCAGCTATTGGGGGTTGCCGGACTCGGTCAGAACCTCCAACACAAACTCCGGGAACCGCATGACTAGAGACGAGCATGGCAACATGAAGATGCTTCACACCACGGGTCGAAAACCTCACGGGGGAGTTCGTCTAGACATGGTAAGATGATTTTTAATAACTATTTAATTTTTATTTTATTTGAATATTCCAAATTAATATTTAATTTTAAAATTTAATTTTAGGCTAAAGAGACATGAGTTCTTCCATCTCTGAAAGACCTTTACGAGAGGACCCACCGGAACAAGGCTGGGCAGTTTGTAGATCCTGCTTCCTAGCGGATCTACAACGAGGTTGTTGCCCGAGTTTACGAACGCCAGACCCAGCTGACTCAGCAGACTGGGACTCCAATTGTATTATCCACTCTTGAAGTGGATAAGATTTACGAGGAGGTAAATAATTTGTTTTACTATTAATTTTTATTATTTATTTAAATTTTTTTCTAATGTTATTAACATTTTTATTTACAGGTTGTCCCTAGGAAAAAGGGGCGTATCGTCGGGATTGGCTCGGTTAAAGATGTCCCTGTAGCGACATCGTCTTACGCTCAGGAGCAGCACGATGTCAATGCTCAGCTGCGCTCGGAGTTGCAGGCGACGCAGTCTCATGTGAGTTCGCTCACCGAGCATGTGATTTCTCTCACCGATGTCCTCGACATATTGGCGGTTGGAAACCCGCAATTGGTGGAGATGTTGCGTCAGAGACGGGAACACGGAGGGATTCCAACCAAACAACATCCACCATCACAGTCACAGCTGTCAACCAACTTTGGAGAGGAGCAGGATTTGGCGAGCCAGAACGAGTTCGTTCGGCAATTTCACGACCAGCATCTGTAGTTTTTTTTATTTTTAATTTTATATTATGAATTTTAAAACTTAATTGTATATTATTTTTATTTATAATTTGATTTTTTTATTTTTAAAAAATAATTTTTTTATAATTATAATTAAACTTTTTTAATAGGGAAAAAAATATTTCGAAGCAAAATCCTCGTAAATTTTCTAAGTAATGTCCTCGTAAGTAATTCTAGTAAGTTCCTCGTAATGAATTACTACGAGCTTACGAGGAAAAGCTAACTATGAGCTTACGAGAAAACCGTACGAAGATCTTACGAGGAAAATTTAACCACGCCTTTACAAGGAAAAGTTTCCTCGTATATTAGCTAGGACCTTACGAGGAAAAATACTTTACGATGAACGTGTTTCGACGAAACGCGTTTCCTCGTAAATTCTTAGTAAATGGTCATTTATTAGGAAATAATGAGGAAAACCTGTCGTGGTAATTGATGAGTTTTCTTGTAGTGATGTCGCGATTACGTTAATTAGTAACTTTGAAAAAGCGTTACTTTATATACTAAAAATAACAATCTTTTACATCCTATCAACATGTTCAACCTAACCTTATCAAATAAACTTTAAAGACAAAGGGACTTATTCAACATCCAAAGATGTGTCCTCCAAATAGTAACTGAAGACGTCATAAATCCACGAGGCACTCCTCCAGCAGATATAAAGCCACGTGGGAGTATCCGCGAAATCCCCTCCGGAGTAAATACAGGAGACTTCTTCTGCTCTTCGCTCAAGTCTTAAACCCTATAAATACAGAATTTACATTCAAAACTAGACACAAATAAATCAGAAACGAATAAAAGAAAACGAAAACATCTTTATAAAAATGGGAAACACCAAAGAGAGAAGAAGCTTGATGGTTTCAACAGTAATGGTGTTCTTCTTCTTCAACACTAACCATCATCAGGTTATGAGTTGCCCCGACCAAACGACAAACTGTACGGATCAAGACAGGAAATTATTGGAATTTCCATTGAATCTGGAGTATCTTGAAGCTGAGTTTTTCTTGTTCGGGGCATTAGGGTTTGGTCTTGATAAAGTTGCACCAAATTTAACGATGGGAGGTCCCAGTCCTATTGGAGCTCAGAAAGCTAAACTTGATCCTTTGACAAGAGATATTGTTTTGCAATTTGCTTGGCAAGAGGTTGGCCACTTGAGGTAAAATGTTTCTTTGAATATATTGTGTATATAGTCTACAGTTGTGATCATATATGATTTTTGCAACCGCAACTTAATCATTATTATAGATATAAAGTAGGTAAAGTGTTTTTTTTTTCTTTCTAATAATAGCCTTTGAGACAATCTTCAAAAATAAAATAAAAACACAGGGCAATCAAGAAAACGGTGACAGGATTTGCGAGGCCACTACTTGATTTGAGTATAAAATCATTTGCCAAAGTGATGGATGATGCATTCGGACGGAAACTTGTACCACCATTTAATCCTTATGCTAATTCTTACAATTACCTCATTGCTTCATATTTGGTCCCTTATGTTGGCCTCACCGGCTATGTTGGTGCTAACCCGAAACTGCAATGTCCCGATTCAAGGAAGGTAAGAAAACTAAACTACTCTATACAAATTGTATGTTTAGTGAATTTAAAGAAATGTATGTTTAGTGTACTTTGAACAAAAAAAAATACTTGAGAAAAGATTGAATGTAATTTCTAAATTAATTACGTTCCACCACATCAATAACTTTTAGATGAAATTTCGTTTATTTTGTTGATTAAAAATACTCATGAAAGTTGGCATTTTAGCTATGTCTAAAGTTTCATCTAATGAAAAAAGTTGTTTTAAGTATATCTAAAATCTTCGATTAAAAAGAAAGGAGTAATGTAACCACAGGTTACAAAGTGATGTTGTTTTATATTATTAATTATTTTTGGATGCATTCTCTTAAATTCCGGTTATACATAATGTTAATAACACCATCTTTTTCAGTTAGTAGCAGGACTTTTAGGAGTAGAATCAGGTCAGGACGCTGTGATACGAACAATGCTATATGCGAGGGCGACACACATGGTTCATCCTTATGGTATCACGGTTGCTGCTTTCACAGATAGGATCTCGCGTCTAAGGAACAAATTAGGGAAAATGGGTGTGAAAGATGAGGGGTTGGTTGTACCTAAAGCCATGGGTGCGGAGGGACAAGTGGCCGGAAATGTATTGGTTGGTGACATGTTATCGCTTGCGTTTGATCGAACTCCGGAGGAAATTCTGCGGATTGTGTATGGAAGTGGAAACGAAAGGGTACCCGGTGGATTTTACCCTAAAGGAGCTGATGGAGAAATTGCCAAGTCTTATTTGGTTTAATAAGGTTGAGTAATGGTGTTGTTGGGAATGAGGTTTAGTGTTAGTTGGAGTTTAATTTCCTTTGTAGTTGTTAGCTTTTTGAGTCTATACAGCAAAATAATTTTCATGTTAATGTAATAAATGCTGTGGGGAATTAGTTTTCCATAGTAAAAAAGTTTGAAAATAAAATCTGAAAAGTAGTTTACAATAGTTGTGTGAAATTAATTATCGAGCAACAAATAACATCGGACATAGTTCAAAAAGAAAACTGAATACTGTAAATTTAAGCAAAGTTTTCATAGCATCGTGTTTTTTGTCCTCTGGTTTTGATATACGAAAGTAAAATATATGGTAGATAACTTTGTTTGAACAATTTATACGTATGTTACCTTTAAATCGAAAAAAACCTCTATTTTAAAAAATATCAATTGTTTGAATTCATCTATATATTATAATTATATTTTTTAATATAAAAAAATATAAAGAAAAAAAAAAAAAAAAAAAAAAAAAAAAAAAAAAAAAAAAAAAAAAAAAAAAAAAAAAAAAAAAAAAAAATATAAAGTTGGTTTAGATATACTCTTACATATTTTTTATTGATTGTGGACTGTATTTTTCCTTTTATGTGTCCTTATTTTTTACTTTTGCTGCCATTGGTTGTTAGATTTGGTACCTTATGTATTTTTTGGTTGAACGATGTTTCATCTTTGTAAGCTGATCTATATTCTTATTGATCACAATTGCTAATCATTTGTTTTTTGGTCATTTAACTGTATCTTAATATAGGAAAAAATTAAACCTTGATCATAAAAGCTATGTGAGATTTTTAACAGTTTTAATAATTTATATTTGTTTTTGAAAAATTCAAAATAAAATATACACAAAAAAATCTAGATTCGAAATATTATATTGTTAGATAGTATATTTTTTAGACTATAGTTTATATAAGGTGTTCAAAAATTCTTCTAAATTTAATTAGAATGCATAAAGAGATGCCACGTACCATGGAGTTATTTTTTTAATTAATACAAATTTAACGTTACATATTTTTCAAATCAATACCATTAAAACATAAACATTATGTTTAATGATTTTGTTATGTTTTCCAAATATACCCTTATTCTTATATACAAATTTAATTTATCATTAATGGCAATTTTGTCATTTTTATTTAGGCTTAAAAACTCTATACTAATGGATTTCATTAAGGGGCGATTCTCTTTCAAATTTTGTAAAATATTTCTTGCAAAAATATATTTTCTTTACGGATTAGACATTTCATATTTGGAGTCGTAAAAACGACTCAATCCGTTGCAGAGCGGGTCGGACGAAGTGAGTTTGACCCGCTTTCCAACATCATGGGTAATTAATTAATATTATTTTTCCAAATAAAACTACATAATTATATACAATACATTGAAATAGATATTGATGATAATATTAAATTAAATCTGCATTAATTTAAAAATATATATATATTAGATAGTGAAATTTTGTAACTAAATGATTTTATGAATTCATCACAAAAGAAAAAAAAATTGGTCATTTAATTGTTAAATATACAATTTTTTCAAGTATAAATTTGAAATACAACCATTCAATGAGATTCTCCAATATCATGCTAAGAATAGCTATTAATATATTTAAAAACATAAAAAAAAATTCTGAGACATTGAAAATAAAAATTTCTTTATACCCGCATGATAACTTGATCTAGATTCTGTGACATTTTATATCATCAAAAGAAAGATTTATCGATTTATCTATAGATAAAACAACAAAAATAGTATCCGTGTTTTTTAAGCGCGTATCAAAAATCTAGTGTTTCTCTTAATATATATAGGGGATGTAACACTTAAACACGGGAATTTTGGCTTAAAACCAACAAAAGGTAAGTTGTGGAAAATCTGGCAGCCAATTTAGACTTTCTTGTTTGCATAAATATTTACCAGCCATCTTTAACTTTTATGTGTTGTGTGTGTGTGTGTATGTTACTCCTTAATGGATTGGTTTGGGCTCATCTAGATTTGACCTCTCTTATCTTTCCTCTACTTAGGTAGTAAACACATAGTTGTTGGACCTTTAATGAGATTTAATTTCGTCCACAATTAGCTCACTTGGAATGGAGTGTTGAGACTTGAGAGCTTTGTTACACACACATCTTTGTTGGTTTCTTCTTTTGTGAGCAGCACACAATTGGCTACTATTGGGCTTCTAACTTTAAAAAAAAAGACCGTTGGGCTTCCAATTTCATTCACTTACTTTGCTAGGAGTGAAGAGGAACTTAGTTAGAACACTTCTAAGGTTGTTCCAACAGCCTTTTTTTTTGTTGCTAAATTTTGGTCCAACAGCCACGTTACATTGTTAAATACGATCCTTGCACCACCATTTGAGCTTCTTTGCTTGCTATTTCATCATAATTGCTATCTTAGTTAGGCTTGCAATTTTGTTTTTCTCTTTTTATTTGGCTGTGATGGATGTGAAATGGTGTGAAATGAAAGCCAATCTTAAAACATAGAACTTTGTGTACAACCTTCCAGCATAAACTTTTGCTAACTCAGGTTGCTGATATGGACTTCAGTCACTTCAAGTGAGAGGATAGAGATTCCATTTTAAACTTTGGTTTGTCTCTTCTTGGGTAGATCGCACAACCGATCTCCTAGTTCACTTGTTGTTGGGCTCCTTCTTACCAGAACACTTCATGTGAGCTCCATCTTGACTCCCTTGCTGCCTCCACATCTGCCACAACTTCTTTGAGAGTCGTAGATATGATCCTATCTTCCAAGATTGCATTGAACAGCTCTTGTTCATTTTAGTATGTCTTTTCCCGATCTACTTCTTTTTAAAAACATTCATCTTTCAGTATCCACTTAGATCAGTTAGATCGAACTTGTCATTTGGTTTTGTTCTTGTTGATTGGTATCTTGGTAATATACTAATAGGTATTAGAAACTACATTTTAAAACCCATAGAAGGTAATTAGGCTGAAACCGTACATGCCAAGACTCAGTCAAAAGGTGATAACCACCTACCTAAAGAGCTCTCTGTATTTGGGTTAAAGAGCGATTTATTGTCGGATATTCTTTGTACACTTGTCTCGGATCAATTTGTTTTATCCAACAAACTTGAATACTACAAGAACCACAACGTCTCAAGCCAAAACAACAAAAGAAAAGACTTAACACTACTCTTTTTACACAATATATAAAAAGATACAGAACAAACTGATAAAGAAATGGCATTAGACAGCAAATGTTCCAGAAACACTGGTTATTGACTCACTAGAAAAAGAAACAACATTTGCATAAAATGCGAAATAAAAAAAAGCCCCTACATAACTTAAACTACTACTTCTTGCTCCATAATAAACTTACATGAACCCCAACCAATGATTCAAATCTCACGACTCCAAATTAAAAAAAAAAAAACCATAAAGCTCTGTTTTTGTTTGTTTGAATCGTGTTGTTGTTGTCAGTTCCTTGAAAAACTACCTCTTTGGAGGCCTTGCATCATCTTCATCATCACTATCCTCCTCTTCCTCTTCCTCTTCCTCATCATCAGCAGCTCCTCTCTTCCTTTTGGGAGGAGCCTCGGATTTGCCAGCACCCGAGTTATCATTCTCGTCGTCTTCACCTTCATCTTCCTCCACACCATTCTCTTCGGGCTCAAAATCACTTGCATCCTCTTCATCTTCAGCCCGACCAACTGGCCTCACAAGGTAATCTGTCCCAAGATCCTCCTGAACAATTACCACATGACAAAACATAAGTTTTAGTAATCAAATGAAAGAGTCAAAAGACAACTTTTTCCAAGAATCCCTTTTAAGATATAATTTTTCTCTAATCTAATTGGTTCACGACTCCTAAAGCTGTCGAGTTTCAATCAGTGACAGAGACTAAGTACAAAGTTTATTCTGTTCTTTTCAACCTAAGACTGTCTGAAATTTAACTCAAAGTAACAAAAGTCGCAACTTTTTGTTTTTACTTCAAAAAAAGAAAGTTAAAAATCATTCTAAGAAAAGTGGTTAGGTTAAACAGATCCAGACTTTCTTCAGCAAAGATTCAGACTTCTACAAAGCTAATTAGAAGCAGACAACCTTAGATCTACAATTTCAATTCATATCAGAGGTTACACCATAAATCAATTTTTAGAAACAAAATCGATTTATCTCAGAATCATACCTCATCTTCACCGTCATCATCATCTTCATCATCATCATCATCTTCGTCATCATCGTCATCATCATCATCATCATCATCATCTCCGTTTCCGTCTTCTCCTCCCTCCTCATCTCCGTCTTCCGCTGACTGTACCGGAGGCCCACCGAGGGACTGCAAAACCTGGACTTCGTCGTCGTCGTCGTCATCTTCGTCCTCCTCATCATCGTCACCTTCACTTCCATCGACTTCTTCTTCCTCGTCGGAATTTTCTTCTCCTCCTCCCTCTTTAACTTCTTCCACTTCACTATCGTCGTCGCTGAGAATCACGGTTTCCTCTTTCAACTCCTTATCATCATCATTAACTCCCGTCATCTTCTTAAAGAGATTTTCCCGAGATAAGTCGATTTTCTTGGAGAGATTTTTTTTGGATTAAAGAGAGAGAGAGAAGGGTTACAAGCTTCGACCAACTGCACCAAGCAGTACCGTCTTTGACATTTAATCTGAACCGTTGAATCTTAATTTGACGCGGATAGCTGACGTGGCGTTAGATCGGACGGTTCAAGTGAGAGAACAATGTGGTTTAGATGAATATGATGCCATAGCGGCGGGCCAAACTGAAAAAAAAAGAAAAAAAGAAAGTTAATATTTTTTTGTCCTTTTTTGGTGAGGATGTCACACGTGAGAAGATCACACGTAATATTAAATTTGATATCTCGAATATTCTAGCTTCTAAAGCCTACCGATGAAACCCAGTACGCTCTTATTATGGCCCAACTGATTATAACAACTACCAAAGGCTAAGTTTACTCTTCAATTGCATGGAATTTATCTATTATTATCTATACTATTATCACATTTTCCATAATTTTAGGATGATTAATTTTACTATTAATCATATATAAAAATTTTATTTTATAAAGATTAATATTAATGTTTATTCGATACATCTATTAGTCATCACTCTCGATTACAAATTGTGTTGCATAGGTGAAATCTTATCTAATCTAACCTAACCTACTAACAAATAAAAGCAACATTAGCTAGATGTATATATTTTTTTGGATTTGTTAACATTAATTCATCAGTCAAAAGCTATGGTCCAAAAATATACTATTTTTAACAGTTACAATAAATAAATCCAGCTTTTAATAGGTATATATAATTTATTATTTTTAGTTTATAGGTGTATAGTTAAAAAGAAAAAGATCCAAGCTTTAATAGGTGTATGTCATTTGTTGTTTTAAATTTGTAAGTGTTTAGTTAAAAACTATTGAAGGTTATCACTATGAAAACTCCTGCTTATTCTCCACAGATACCAGCATAGTGCTCGATTACATATCACATATCGTTTTAAGAAACAGAAAATTAATAGCAAACTTGGAAAAAAATGAATATTTTGAAGCATAAGAGATCACGTAAACATTCTCAAAACACTGGTTCTAATCATATCTATAAATTATAAATTTGAAGAAACATTATGATATAAACAGGGTCGGTCCATACCCACCAAAAACCCGATTCTAATTTAAAAAAGAAATATTTTTTCTTTGTAAAAAAAAATTCTAAATTTAAGTTTAAAAATGTCATTCTAACCAGTGGCTTACTTTGCATGTGTTCTGGGCCGGATCTGAATATAAATGCTTTTGTTTGATTTGTGGTTATAAATTTATATTCTGATGAATATGGAATTTATCTAAACTTTGATCAAACTAATGTTTAGGGTGGTTCCCCAAAAAACCTGAGTAAATATATTGGATGAAATGGTGTCTACTCTTACAAGCCTTGTTGATAAAGGTAATAATAGATTTGTTTTTGTAATTTGATCATTTATGTTATTTTAAATTATTAATAAAATTTTATTGGGCTATTATGATGATGGTGATGCTTCCTACGTACTGTGAAACTTTTATATGATCTGGTGATATAAATATATAACATTTTTAAGTACCAAACTGTTAATATGGTGTGTTTCCGCAAAAGAAAAAATCAAGCTAGCTCTTATTAGAATACCACTTATGTAACTGTTATAACTTTTTACAATAAGGGTGAAATGAGGAACTATCATAAAAACAAATTCTTAAATTTTTTAAGAGATATCTCACATTTATTATTTTCATACAAAACATTATCTAAACAAAAATAATTTTAAAATCACTGAACTAAAGTCAAACTAATCCAAATTTGATAAACATAATTTTATTTAATCCTGAAAAAAATTGGTAAAAAGAATTATTGATTCATTTAAAACACACATAACAATAAAAACAAATCACTTAACAAATAATTAGAATTTCGTTAGCGGCAGGGATGGACATTCGGGTATCCATTCGGGTTTGGCTCGGGTCCTTTCGAATTTTCGGGGTTAAAGATCTTTCAGCCCCCTTCAGGTATATAAAAATTTCGGTTCAGGTTCGTTTTGGATCTTTTCGGGTTCAGTTCAGATTTGGATAACCCATTTAAATTATTTTTAAAAAAATTTTAAATTATATATATTTTAAATTTTCCCAAAATCTAAAACTAAAAAAAATCTATAACATATATATTTGAGTAATGTATGCCAAAATATCTAAATTAACATAAAAATTGATTTGGATGGAGATTGAATAGATATTTTAATTATTTTTGATATTTTGAGTATTTTTTTATATTTATATATTTATTTTTGACTATTGTATACATTTTCGAGTATTTTGAATATATTTTGGATATTAAGTCTAGAAAATAACTAATATACTCAAGAATATAAATTTGATTTGGATATATTCGGGTTCCCAAAATATTTTGGTTCGGATTCAGTTCGATTTTGGTTCTCTAGATACCAAAATATTGAACCCATTCGGATATTTAATCCGTTTAGTTTGGTTTTGGTATTATTTTTTTGGATTGGATTCAGTTTAGTTTTTTGGATTTAGATTTTTTGCCTAGTCCTAATTAGCAGAAAACCAATATCCAACAAAAATGATTAATTTTATATGAGTATCTAACTAAACTTTTTTACGTTTAAAGACAAAAAAATACATTAAAAATCAAAAATGGTTGGATGCATATATTAGTTCGCACAAAGTGCGGGGTTTTACCTAGGTGTTCCATAAAAATGCTGATATAGTCCTAAGTTTTTTTTTGGGTTTTTAGTAATAAAACCCCTCAACTAAAGATGTATCGTAAAAGAAAAATCCTCAACTAAATATTTAGTGAAATAAATCCTCAGCTTTAGTTTTGTTAATGTCTGTCATACTCTGTCACGGAATTTTAGTCGGAGGGTAACATACGTTAACAAACCTAAAGTTGAGGGTTTATTTCATTAAATATTTAGTTGAGGGTTTTTGTTACGATCCATTTTTAGTTGAAGGGTTTTATTACTAAACGCGGTTAAATATTTTAAAATCTGTATTATCGTTTATTCATTATTTAAGAATCTTAAAATTGATTTATAAAAATTTAAATAATTTATAATCTTTATATATTACTTTATTAATTTATAACCTATTTATAAAGTTTTCTCATTTAATACTTTTTATAAATTATTATTAAGATTTAATGAAGATTTTATAAGATTAAAGATGTGATTATTCGTCATACTACAAAAACATGAAGTAAATAAATGAAACAAGAAAAGCTTATTAATTAATATAGTAGGAGTATAACATATTTGTTCAGAAATAAATAAATAATAATAATAAATAAATAATCCTACATTATTTCTTCTGAAATAGAAAAAAAGTACAAATCAAATTTAAATTGTTTAAAGAGGAGAAAAAAGTCATTGCCATATTTTAAGTAACAATGTTGAATTTCTAAACTAATTAAATATCCTCAACACTACCTACAACTTTATATAACTTATAAATCTTAATTCTTTGATATTTGACAGTATTAATATAAGAAAATTGTATGTGTTTCCTCCATTATAAAGCTTTACTGCTTTACTTCGTAATATAAAAAAAATCATGTATTATTCCATCATAAAAAATAGCAGACAAAAGCTTATAAAATCATCGTTAAACCTTATTAGTAGTTTATAAAAATATTAAAATATTTACTAAGCCTTATAAATAAGTTAAAAATTGATAAAGAAATATATAAAAAATATTTATTATTTTTAATGTTTATAAATCAATTGTAAGATTCTTAAATAATAAATAAATGATAACAAATATTTAAAAATATTTAACCGCATTTAGTAATAAAACCCCTCAACTAAATATGGATCGTAACAAAAACCCTCAACTAAAGATTTAGTGAAATAAACCCTCAACTTTAGTTATGTTAACGTATGTCACTCTCCGTCAAAAGTTCCTTGACAGAGGGTAACAGACATTAAGGGAACTAAAGTTGAGGGTTTATTTCACTAAATCTTTAGCTGGGTTTTTTTACGATCCATCTTTAGTTGAGGGGTTTTATTACTAAAAACCCTTTTTTTTGTTATGTGTATGTTTGTTAGCATCCCTTGTAGGCCTGGGCAAAAAAAATGAAACGAATAACCGAACTAAAACCGAATCGAAATACCCAAAACTGGATCGAAATTCTTAAATATTCGAATTGTTCCTATATTTCTATACCCGAAAAACCGAACCGAGAACCGAACGGGTACCCGAATATCCGAAAACAAGTTATCTTTTTAAAAATAAGATAAAATGACATCAAGCCCACTTGAACCCAGGTTAGATACAAAGAGTAAGTGCATTTTTACCATCAGACCATGTTATGTTTTATTTATTCTGTTATATTATAAATATATGGTATTTCTATATTATAATATGATAAATATTTATAAAATTAACACTTTATTGATTTGAACTCTTGTTGGAATGACTAATATGTAAGCGTTTAAACACTAGACCATTTAAATTAACATATTAACTAATATATATATATATATATATATATATATATATATATTTGATTTATATATTAAATGGATACCCGGAGCTTAATCGGTGGAACCGAAACGGAACTGAAATCTCATAAGTATCTATTAGGTATAAGAATAATTTATTCGATATACCCGAAATTGAATGATTCCTATCGGGAACTGAACCGAATATCTGAAAGCTCATACCTAATCCCTTGTATGGGTTTAGTTTCCAAGGTATGTTCCATGTGACCGTTGATTTGGGTACAGGGTATAATCCTTTTTGGTTTAAGAACGCTATCTTGTAATCTTTGTTTCTTAACTAATCAGATGTTCATGTGAAAAAAAACAAAAGTCCTAAGTTTTTTTTATAAAAGGTTTTCTTATATTAGCTTTTAAAAAAATTTGAAACATAAGCAGATTTTTTTTTTAACATAAAACATATAAAGATAAAAACCCAAATAATCTTCTAAGGGATTCAGGAAATAATAGCCCAAACATTGAAATGATAAACAAAATAGTCTAGTACATAACAAACAAAATCCCCTAGCTTTCACTTGGTCGATATCCAACACCGAGAAGGCACACACCCACCGGAAACGAAACCGTGAAAGTGGCGTGGAGGCGAAAGCCTCAGTTCAAAAAAAAAGACGTGGAGGCGAAACACAAATGGACCAAAACAAACATCCACCAACGAAACGTCAAAGCCTCAGTTTAAAAAAAAAAAAGACGTGGAGGCGAAACA